TGTCACATCATTTGGAGCAGAACTAGGCCCTCCCCAGTGTGTCTAGGCAGAGAGAGTAACCCTCTATGTGGAGTGGGCTCCCAAAGTCCATTCCTATGCTAGAGATAAATACTGAAATGCTAAAAATAGTTGATAAAAATTGCTTGTCTTCTAAATTAAAATAAAAAATGAAATAAACTGCAAGTAATTTAACTTATATTACATTTTTAATGACTAAACATTTGTTAGTACCTCACCTGTGAAATGTTAATATAATTTCTAAGACATATGTCTGTGGTCTGCCTTTTAAGAGAACTATGTAGAAATAAACAGAACAGGCACATTTGTTTTTTAATAAATCATTGCTATAGGACTACATTGGTGGAATATCAAATGTCACGTTTTTATATTTCATAAAAATAGAACAAAATATAAAACGTGACCCGCTGCATGTGTTGTCAAGTGAGACTGAATCAACACGTGCATCCATTTGTTATGTTTGGCTGAACATCTCTTTCAGCTGTAGACACTGGCCTAATATGAGAAAGGCCTTGACTTCGACCCACAATAGTGTAGTTAAAAAGTAAATAAATGAGATGCTTCCTTAATTTCTTCATTATCAAGTATAAAGGTTGACATTTTCCTAAATATCATAAAAATATAGGTAAATTATTTGTTATATTGGCAATTATTCTATGCCAATTTCATTTATTAGTATGATGGCTATTACTGTCAAAAGGGAAAGAAAAATCTTCCACTCTTGAAACAAGACCAATCCCTGTATTTAACATTAGCATGGTTTTATTAGCTAAGTAAATAACATGTATAGTCCATATTGCATTAACATTTGCATCGTTTTATTAGAAATTTCTAGATAAAATAATTGTATGGCTTTTCAAGTGTTTTTGCTAATGAGAAAGGAAGTATAATTAAATATAGTTTTCATGAAATATGAATTTCTCTCTAACAATATTGTTTCTTTCACAATCCAATTTATGTGATTGTGAGTAACACTCATTCTCCTGCCATCTTTTGTACTTACGTGTTATTGACTATCTCTTCTCACCCTCAATCTTTATGTGCTTTAAGAGATTTAACCCACTTCCCAGGTGTTTATATTGCTGCCATTTCCAATCATATATCACACCCATTTGAGAGTCACCAGTGGATCTGTAGGTGCTTAAATCTAATATAATCATGGATGCCACACAGGTGGGACAGAAACCACCATCAGCAGATGCCATCAGAATTTTAAGGAAAAATATATGAATGACAACAAATATTTATATAAAGCAGTAAGAGAGGAAAATGTCTAAGGCTCTAATGTTGTATTGTTTGGAAGATTGATGGCTTATAAAAATTTAGCATAATAGTTAGTAGTAGATAGATAGTTGGTCATGAGTAATTGGTGTACCCATTAGAACAGTTCCAGAGGAAGTGTGTTACTGACTCTGTGAGGAAACAATGGGAACCCAGGTAACTCCTCAAGCCTCTCAGGTCTGTATTTTAGAAAGACATCCAAGCAGACAGAGAATAGAAATTAAGAGATTACTAAAGTAACACAGTCAACTGTGTAGAAGATGGAATATGCTCTGAGCATGGTCTCAGAATCAGAGAGAGCTGTGCTAGCATTAAGATCAGACATAATTCTCCTTTGTGCAAAAACAACATTGTCTTTTCCACTGTATTTCCCAGATGCTCAATGTTTGGAACAACCATGAGCTCAATCAGTTGTTAATCTGAGTAAATGAGGAAAGATGGCACAGGTATCTCTAAGGCTCTTTGTTTGACCTCATGGGATTTAGAAAAAGAAAGTCAGTACCTGTAAAATTCCATTGTGGTCAACTCTTTCTCTCTCATGGACACAAAGAAATAGTATTGGGTGATCACAACCTCTGTATTGATAACAGATTTTGTAATAGTATTTGGAAGAAAACCACTAATTATTTTCTATCAATGGTTGACAAAACATTTCTAAATGAGAAATATTTGAAGGTTTTGTGGAACAGTAAGCCTCTGCCAAAATCGATAAACACTTTTTGCATTTCCAAAGGAGCCATGATAATATGTAATTAATAGGCTCAGCTATGAGTCATTCAATTTTACAAATCCAGTATACTGGATTTGGTCATGGGTCACCATGTGTTAACCTCCACTTTATGTTATGAAAGGAGTATTGTGAACCAAATTCCTCAGCTGAGTCATTAGAATAGATAGCTATGCTCAGATGTTGACTAAGAAAGAAACTTTTAAAAGTCTTAGCAGTATTATTTCAAAGTGAAATGATATTAAAATGAAAGGCAAGATTTCTTTGTGGATTTTCCAAGCTGTGAAGCAGAAACTATTGTGAATTATACATTATAGTCTTGCCATTAATATAGACACTAGGCTATAAAATCAGTGTGAATTTTTATTCTGAGTACATAGAATTATAATATGTTTGATTTTTTAAAAGTGAGTTTATAATTGTAGCATGCTGAGAAGAGTGAGAATTATTCTGAACTAAAAATTAAAAATAGAGGGAAATCAAGTACCTACAACAGGACTAGTAGAGATTCTGCTTTTAATTGCTCCAAGAGGAGTCATTTTTCCATTCAGTAAAACCCATTTTTTTCTTTCATCACCTCATGTTTGTCCATATGTTTTCTATTTCATTTTTCCCCATTTTTCTTTTTCTTTATTTTTTCAAGTGTGGGGAAGTTTGAGTTTTCTCTTTCTCCTGGCAGCCCATGGGATCCCTGGCTCTAAGTGCTAGAACGCTTTTATGTTGCATCTTCCTTCAGGACCTCCTCTCCTAGAGCACCATGGCACAGACACATCTGCTGACTTGCTTCTGTAATTCTACCAATTCCTTTGGGACTCTGATTAATGCAAATCAATACAAATTGAAGGGTGAGGAAAGCAGATTGCAGGTGGCTTTCTTGGGTGGCAAAAAGCTTGCCATGAGAAGTAGTCCCCAGGCCCACAGCTTCTATGCTTTCCTATCTGTTTCTTTTGTTATCTGATTTACTTAGCAGATGATTTGGTTCAGAAACTTTATTTCCCTTTAAAAAATATTGTTAACAAGTACAAAGGAGAGTCCTGATTTGCCTTCTTATTATAGGAATATAATGAACTGCCTAATGCATGTTGAGTATACAGCTAATTTCTCACATCTTCTCTATATTGTAGTCTTACCTTTTTATTCTTTGTGGTTTAAAATCCTATAGCACTAATGCTATCTACTCAGGGATGGGAAAGTAAAATTTTTATACCCCTTCCTGGTTCACAACTGAAACTGCTATCACAACAACAAAAGAATATAAACTCATAGTTATTTTATTATTTTATTTATTTATTTATTTATTTTGTTCACACACATATGTGTGTGTGCTAGCTGTATGTATGACTTTATACCAGATGAGGGCATCAGACCCCATTATATATGATTGTAAGCCACCATGTGGTTGTTAGGAATTCAACCCAGGACCTCTGGAAGAGCACCCAGTGCTCTTAATTGAATTGAGTTTTATTCATAAGAAGTTTCTGATAAAAAGAGTTGCTACAAGCTATGTGTTCTCATCTCTATTTGACGAAGCAAGGGCACTGGTAGAAAACAAAGGGCAGGGCTCTAGGTGGGGGCATTCTGAGGCTGGTTTACTAGCACTCTTCTATGGAGATAAAGATGTGCATTTTCTATGGAGATTTGAAAGGCACCTATCAAAGGACAGTCATGGGACTGCCCGCAGGGAAAGTTCTAAAAAATCTGACCTAGGTTTTATGACCTATCTTAGGGGAGAAGTGAGCAGAGAAAGTGAGAGAGACTTCCCTTTTTCAATATGCCATTGCATACAGTTTTGGACCCATTACCCAGAGTCTGGGTAGACTCGTGTCTACCCAGAGTATAAGTCTATCTGCTAGAAAGGTACTAGTCATTAGCTTAAAGCTAAATTCCTACCAGTCAGGTCAGAAGGCATAACTGTTTCTGCATTCAATTTAGCAGCCTAAATTTAAAGACTTTATTCTGTTATAATGAATAAATATTGGGCTGGAGAGATGGCTCAGAGGTTGAGAGAACTGACTGCTCTTCCAGAGGTCCTGAGTTTGGTTCCCAGCAACCACATGGTGGCTCACAACCATCAGAAATGAGATCTGGTGTCCTCTCCTGGTGTGCAGATATACATGGAAGCAGAATGTTGTATACATAATAAATAAATAAAGTCTTTAAAAAAGAAATGATATAATAATAAGTATTCTATTAAATAGACAAGATCTATTAAAATAAAAATAATTAAGGTAATAATGGCTCATTCATTAAAATAACAATCTTTGGGGCAGGAGAGATGTTTCAGTTTGTGAAGTCTCTTCCCACAGACGGTGATGATCTGAATTTGATCTCTGCAGACACATAGGGTGGAATGAGAGAATTAATTTCTGCAAACTATCCCTCTGGTTTCCACATTCATGTCAGAACATGTCAACACACACACTAAATAAGCATGAAATGAAAATCTCACCCCAAATTTTGACAGAGAGCCTGGGGAAGTATCTCAGTGCTGGGTGCTTTGACTAACATGTGTTATGTACCTAGGGAAAGTGGGAAAAAATGAGGATGTCTATTATAACAGTTCCTAGGTACATTGCCAGAGTGGAGTGCTCAGGACAGAAGTCAGTATATGAGGCAGGTTAGAAACATGGAGACATCCATCAGTACTCCTAAAGACTATGATGGGAGTTTTATTGATATATATTAGGACATGTAATGTATTTCATTAATATACATTAGTATAGCAATGATTCCTGATATTTCTCTCCCCAATTCTTAAAACATCTTTGCATTTGAAATAAGAAGAAAATTATATGAGCTCTGAACTTTAGGAGAATGAAGGTTTCCAGTGATGTGTACAACTGCCTACCATTCTGACAGTAACTCTGTGGGCTCAGCGAGGAAAGCTTTACTTTGGATCATTAAGTGAATCAACTTCAGAGGGTTCCTGACATTCTCCCTGTTCACTGTTGCTATTTCACTGTGTCGTTGGCAGCTTCCAATCCTTGTGCAGCCAATGAGGGTAGAGGCCCCTGCTCTCACCTTTGCCTCATCAATCATAATAGGAGTGCAGCCTGTGCCTGCCCCCACCTGATGAAGCTTTCTTCCGACAAAAAGACCTGCTATGGTAAGTTTCTCACAGTTCTTAGCCAAAGCTGAATGGAAATATTTCAGATTCTTCAGGCATTCAGATTTTACAGAGTGTAGTGGAAGAGGTTTTGAATATCTTTAAGAAAACATTAGGTGGGGCTGCTGCCGGCAACTATTAAGGATTCAGCTCTTTCTGGGGAAACTGACAATCCTTTAAAATGTGGTATATTACATTTGCTATTTATTACCTTATTCATTTTTTCTTGCTATTTTCTTATTTGATATGTTAGCAAAATTTATCTCTGTAAAACAGGGAGATGTGTAAGTGTAAGTGTGCTTCAAGGAAGTGCTGACTTAGGAAGTACTCACCAGCTTTAATTTCCTGTTCATTTAACAGGGCATTGTCAATCTGAAGGGGAAAATGAAAACAAACAAACCAACTATATAACTTGAACACACACATACACACACACATACACACATACACACACACAAACACATGAAATAAATAAAATATTTTTCTTTGTAGTTACTTAATCTATAGGGCAGAAAATGGAATCACTTACCAGAAGTTAAATTATGAGTCTATTACTAATGGCTTTAATTCTGTGCACTTATTATAGGATAAGACCAGATTTCTCTGATCCAGGTCCATGTTTATCTCAATTAATAATTTATAAAAGGACACAGAAGGTCATCAAACAGTAATTAAGACAAGAGGTACTTGAGAAAACAAGCATTTGCAATTGGGAACTGCAAGTTCCACCAAACCAGAGGGCCATGCTGGAGATATTGGGGTGTTGTCTTTCATGGGTTCAGGAATGTTGATGGGAGGGGAGTGTCCTGCCTTTTACCATAATGAAGTTATCTAACAAGTTCTATACCCATGGTATGTGTGCATGCATATTGCAAACATAGAGAGGAACGACATTCACTGTGCCCACTTTCTCTTAATATTGCCCTTAACAAATCCAACCCCACAGAGAAATGACAAACACCCATCAGCTAGTGGAGAGTGTAGAGAATAGAGCTTGCTAGTGATTTTAAAGATCCCTGCAGAGAACCCAGGAGTGTATGTCAGGCAGTCTGTCTTACTATATATGAAAAGTAATGCTGTAACAAGAGAGTGTACCATGGACCTTCATGTTACATTAGTGGCTTTCTCAAAATAATAGCAACCCAACCACAACCAATATTAGAATAACTATAACTCCTATATCACAAACAGCACAAGAGTACCCAAATGCTTCCCAATAGCAGGACAAAAAAATTGCAATAAAATATGGAGACTATCTGAGCCCTAATTTTGATAAGAAATACATGAATTGAATTTTTAAAAAAATAATGTCTACTTTTATACAGTGACAATTTTTAGGATGATAAATTCTTAAGTACTTTAAAAATGATTTAATGAAAGGCAATTTTACTTTAATTATATGCCAGTACGAAATATGGTTGTTGAGCACATATAACCAGCAAGTTCTGGTTTTGGTTGTTTGTTTTCCATTTGTGTTTTTTTTTTTTTTTTTTTTTTTTTTTTTTTTTTTTTTTTTGAGACAGGTTCTCACTATGTAGCCATGGATGGCCTGGAACTCAGAGATCTGCCTGCACTTCCACACCTGACTTTGGAAAGCAACATTTTGCTATGCTGAGATAGAAATCAAGTACCAAGAATTTCTTCACATTTCAAACTAAATCATATTACTTAAAGATTTTTTTTAACTGTTTGTTCTGAATACCTTCTGGATCGACGACCTATATGCTGTTTCCATCAGATACTTTTTATTCTATGTTCAAATTGAAGTCATTAAAGTTGTTATTTTAGAATTTCTAGACTGTCTTAAGCTTGCCAACAATATAAGAAAAACTCTAAGTTGAATTTACTTTTCCAGAAATGAAAAAGTTTCTTCTTTATGCAAGACGTTCTGAGATCCGAGGAGTGGACATTGACAATCCATATATGAACTTCATCACGGCCTTCACTGTCCCTGATATTGACGATGTTGCTGTAATAGACTTTGATGCCTCTGAGGAACGCCTGTACTGGACAGACATCAAAACGCAAACCATAACTCGGGCTTTCATTAATGGAACAGGGCTAGAAACAGTTATTTCAAGAGGTAAAAGAATTGCATGACCCCAACAGTGCTTGTTATTCCATATGTAGTAAACAGTTTCTTTTACATTCTTCCTCCACTGTTGAACTCAGCTGAAAGTTGAAATTGGTTATTCAAAGAAGCAACGGTGTACTACATCTCTATAAATGTCAAATGCCACAGTTAAAACACACAACACTTGGATAACCAAAAATTTAGTTCAATTCAAAGGAAAAATTACAGAGCAAATTAAAATTTTCAAGTGTCTAAACACATTAAAAAGCTTTTTTTTTTTTTTTTTTTTTTTTTTTTTTTCCCCCCATGAAACATTACTCACATGGAGACAGCGACAGCATGAGGTATAGCAGGGCCTGGCCCAGTCCTCTCAATCAATCCTTAAAAATATTACACAAGGAAACATTCCAGAAGCTTTCTCATAAGCTCTCAGAAGTATCAATTGAATTAACTGAAAAAAAAAAAAAAGGACTGGTAAGATGGCTCAGTGGGTAAAAATACTTACCATAATAGAGAATCCACTGAAGGTTGTGCTCTGATTTTTAGGTGCCTGCTGTGACATATATGGGCTCAAGAGCATATGTGTAAACATAAACACACATGATGATGATGATTTCTATAGTATAAAAAACCTAGCTGGAGTTAATTATCTATGTGAATGCAATCGCTGGATCCTGGATATTTAGCTTTGAGTTAATAATATATTATTTCCTCGTACATTGCTTGTTTTCACTTTGTGTCAGTCACTAGCTTGGTAAATGTGTCTTCACTGAGCATTACTTACTGTGACTGAAAAACAGACCAAACTTGCTTTCCCTGAATGACCCTATGCATTTAATACAAGCATTTCAAGAGGACTGAAGATAGGGTAACCTTACTCCTACCAACCCAGTCAAGCACCTGCACTTTTGAAGAATACTGAAATCTTGTATTTTAACTGAAAATAGTTTCTTCTCTCATCCAATACATCAAACCAGTTTCTCTACCTTCACTCCTCCTAACTCCCTCCACCTCCCTTCCCCCCAGAGGAACCATCCTCCCTCTGTTTCCTCTTCAGAAAAGGGAGAGATAGCTCCAAAGTCCAGAGAGTGTTTTAGTTCCTAATTAGAGCAATATAGGAAACAGGTTCTCAAACCACATCTGAATAGAAGCTTCAGGTATTCACAGGGTGGCACAGGCTGACAAATGATGTATGACATTATTTAGACCAATTGATCACATATTAAAGCTGTTAAAACAACTTACTGAACATTAATTCAGTATTGACTTGTCACAAGTGATCAAATTTATTTCCAACTCAATTAAAGGAAAGTCAGAGAACTAATACGATGAATTCACTTCTCCATAGAAACTTTCTTCCAGTGCTCAGTGTAAACTGTGTAACAGGCATGGCAATGTCATTATCCTCACTGAAATGGTCCTCCTCCAGAGTTAAGGAAGGAGGTCACAGCCCTATCAAGAATATGAACATATTTCTCCAGAAGCTGTGAGGCCTGTATTCAGCTAGAAATGCTGTTGATAAACATTAGGGGACATGGCTTCTGAATATAATGCTGGGACTGGAATCAAATCATAATTTGTTGAGTACATATTTCAGAAATATACAAGACTTTTCAATTTACCAGACTTTAATTACTACCTGTCCACATTGAGCAGTAAAAATTTTTTCCCTACTATTACACATATTCATTAGGATCTGAAATTAGGTCATCTGGACAAGCATTTTCTAAAGGAGAAGAACTGGAGGGAGAGAGGCTGGGTAGCCACTGTGATACCCATACTGCATCCTCCAGAAAAGGAAGAGCACAGGTGTGTCCAGGGCTGAAGAGATAGAACATGATTACACACATACAGCTTAAAGCGCTGATTCCTATGCTTCAGCTTCTGTATTAATACATAGAATGGTATCTGCTTTTAAGAGTGCCTAGTGAGACATTTAGCTTTGCTTTGGAAGTGGTCCCTTTATCAAAGATGTCTAATAGAGACCATGCAGGTGAACATCTGGTAGCTGTTTGAAGGCTACTTGTCTGCTTTGGTGGTTCTGGTATGTGGTAGAAGCATAGACTTTGTGGAGACGGATAGAGTTGGAAGAAACATGGGCTGATTTTGGATCCAACAAAGGGGAAAATACAAAGGCAAGGGTTTAACATGAAGGGGGAGGAAAAGGCTCTGTCAAAGTGGCTTCTGTTCTTCTCAAATTCAATGGACTTGCCTTCCTTCCAGAGTGCAGCCATGCTAAGGACAGTGTGGGGATTTTGATAAGAAACATGCCCAATATGCTCATGTATTGGAACACTAGGCTGGTAGTTGATGGTGTTGTTTCAGAAGGTTTAGGTGTGGAGTCTTGCTGGAGTATGTATGTAAAGAAGGTCTTTGAGAGTTATAGTGTAAATCCCAAAGAGTTGAGGAGAAATACCACTGACACAAATCATCATGGCCATATTAATTAAATCAAGAAAAAGCAAGCTTGTTTTATTTGTGTATACAGGCTGCCTTCCTTTAAGGTGGGATTTAAGAGGTCACCATTTGACTTGAAGAAGACAAGGTTTTATAGCTCAGGGGTAGGGGATTTTGAAAAATAGGATTTGGTTGGAAAAATAGGAGGGGTTACAGAGCAGAATCTAAGAAGTCGGCAATACCAAGGTATAAATATCAACTTTTTAAAATACATGTAGGGTTGCAAGACGGTCATTACAACTTTTTGAAATAAGGATATGATTAACATTTCCTGGAACAGGCAGAGAAGAGCCATTTGTAATTAAGGTTACAAGTGGGGCATACCCCATTCCTTGAGAAACAGATTTATAATCATAAACAGGAATGAGTCTAGGTTTTCTTTACTATAAGATAGCCTTTAAGCCTAAAAATGGAGGCAGGCTGGCTCTCAATGGCTTTGCTCCATTACCAATCCCTCCTCTCTGCTTCATTCTTGCCTTTTTAGATGAGAACTCTCAGCTTTCTTGAAGCTGCTGCCATACTTACCATTTACTATCATGATTCTCTACCATATAGACTCTTATACCTCTTGAACCATACAGAAAAAAAAAAAAAACTTCTTCCATAACCTCTTTCAGTGCTAGTGTTTTGTCACAGAAACAAGAAATAACTAATACAGACTGGTAAAAAGTTCCATTAGCATCAAAACTGATGAATTTTGCAAGCTTGACTTTGGAAATCCAGATTACCACAATTTCCAACAGTAGTTTATGTATTTTGCTTGTCCATTAGTTCTTCTGTAGCCCTGTGGATGGTCTCTGCAGACCTTGCTCTTCCTCTGAACATGATTGCCCTCTGTTCCTTCTTGGGGGGGTTCTTTATTTCATTTTTTTCTCTTTTAACTGAAAATAGATTCTTCTTGCATACTATAAATCCCCACCACAATTTCCCGCCCTTCCACTCCTCCTAGAGCCTGTTACCTCCTGTCTCTCCCAGATCCCCGCCCCCCCTCCATTTCCTCTTCAGAAAAGTACAGGTCTTCAAGACATGACAGCCAGACAGAACAAAACAAGAAACATTAAGTTATGGCAAAAGTCCTCATATTGAGGCTGCTCAAGGCAATCCAGTAGTAGGAAAAAGTCTCAAGAGCAGAAAAACAGTTCAGAAACACACCTGCTCCCAGCTGGTAAGAGTCTCATAAGAATACCAAGATAACAGCCATAACATATAAGCAGAGGATTTAGTGCAGGCCCATGCAGGCCCCTTTCTTGCTTCTTCAAGCTCTCTGATGCCAAGTGAGCCCTGTTTAGTTGATTGGGTGGGTATGCTCTCCTGGTATCCTCCATCCCATTACTCCTACAATCTCCCCTCCACCTCGTCTGCAGTGTTCAAAGATCTCAAGGTGAGAGACCTATGGAGAACTCTAATTTAGACTCTCTCTGAATAATATGTTGTGGTGGGCTCTACACCCTCTCCCATCTGCTGCTGGTGTGCTGGGGTCTGGCCTGTATCAGTCCCATGCTACAGAGACCATCTACTCCAGACTGATGTCTTTGGGGCTGCTATTGGAACCAGGCAAACAGCCCCTGGGTCCAACCCTGAGTGGCATAGTCCTAGCTACCCAGTGGTTTTAAGGATGAGATAGAGACATCTTGTCATCTTAGGAGGGCTCTCAGTTGGTACTGGAGACCAGGGTTTATTCAAGCATGCTCTTAAATAGCTGTCCAAAAGCGGGGTTACAGGCAGAAGACATCTATTATCATGTATAGAGCTGATATCAAATATTTTCTTTAATCCTCAAGATAGTCCTGGAAGCACATACTGAAGCCCTCAGACATTCCACCTGCACCAGGCATGTTTTACTAGCCCCATCCCCGCCAATAGGTGTGGGCCCACCCATGGCCTAGGTCTATTGTTATATAAACTAGAAGAAATTCTCCACCTTGGCAAGGCCATCTGGAGGTAACCAGCCAACATCTAAAAGACAATGGGAGATTCCAGCTCGTGGAGTTGAGCTTGCGGCCTGTATCCAAAATATCATATTCATATTTGGTCCCCTGACACTAGTAGAATCCTTTCCTAATGACTGATGAACTAGAAAGGCACCAATCTAACAGTATAGCAAAATATCATTACAAGGACTTTTTTTCCCTAGTAGTGTTTGGTTTTACTCTAGGTCTCTGGGATATCCAGTCTCCAGGGTTTTGGTTTGGTTTGGTTTAGCCCTCCAGGCTATATATGGTATGGGCTACCTCTTATGGGGTGAACCTCAATTTACAGCAAACATTGTTTGGCCATTCATGCATGCTCTGTGCCACCACTGCCCTAACCCTAAAAATCATATATAAGTGAGTACATACCATGTTTATCCCCTTGTGACTGGGTTACCTCACTCAGGATGGTTTCTTCTAGTTCCATCCATTTTCCTGCAAATTTCAACATTCAACTGTCTTGAAAGCTGTAGCCACGCCTACTTAGGGGCTGGCTACAGGTGTGCCTGACCACGCCCTCACAAGCTTTCGAGGGCATGGTCAGGGGACATAGGGTAACTGCGTTTTCACTTTCGGTTTCTCTTTTGGGCTTGCGTACAGACTGCTGCTATGCAGGCTGGCTAGGTCGCTCTGTAAGTAAGGCTTTTCCCTATTAAATACCCTTATATTTCTTCCTGACTCCATATTGGTAATTTCCAACTATATTCCATTTTTTTTTCTTTTTCTGCTGAGTAGTACTCCATTGTGTAAATGTACCACATTTTCTCTA